TATAATACAAAGCCAAATGTCAAAACAAAACTGTTATCAATTATTTTTTTAAATAAAATATATATTTATTTATAATAATAATTTTTAATTTGACCATAAAGAGAAGGAAAGTGAGAAGGCAAACCTCCAGGTCAGGGACTCGAACCACAGTTGGCCATGTGGGAATCCAGCTCCTTAACCACCATGATGCCTGCCAGCCCAGATGTCAATGAATTTGAAGAATTTTTAACAACAAAGTTATTTTTGAACTGGCACAGCAAACAAAGTGGAATATCAATACGAGACTAACCATGCAAAGAACCACAAGTTGAGATGCATCACTTTAACACTAAGCTCATGACTGACATTCCCAATATATACCATGGATTTTTCTAAACCATGGTGGCTAGGGTAGGTATAGTCCATGGATATCCATTCCAAGACCTCACTCCATGTATAGTTATTACTTTTTGGTATAATGAATTTAAAAATACCAAACAAAACCCAAAGGCAACAAAATGAAGCTTGCCTGAATATATGTTAAGCTGCATTTTTAACTGTTTAAATTATCAAACACAATCTTTAGGTTTTGACAGAAGAGTAAATTTCTTTCCCAAAGAGCCATTTTAGGCTAGGTTATCATAAATAGGACCTTTCCAAATATTCCAGCAAAGTATATTTTCAGTTTAGAATTTCAGAATGTCAGTCTTGAACAGAGTAAACTTGGTTTCTTTCCTTACAACAAGTTAGGATATTTCGGAACACGAGTTATTGATGTGGAATCACACGTGTGAATTCAAATATAAAAATGAGAAATTCAGTAGTCAGGAAAACCTGCACACGTCACCATGCAACGATGGACTTACCCCTTCTTTTCAGCCATGGCCTAGGCTGCCTGCTAAGTTAAAAACAAATAGTTTTAACTGAGTTTTTAAAACCAGAATAGACCTAAATGTTGTCAAGTTACAATTTCTGGCACATCATATAGGAAAAAACAAAAAAACAAAAAACCTACAAATAACTGGGTAATGATTGTCTCAGAAGACAACTGAGATCAAAACCAAAAAAAATACATTACACTCTTTTGGAGAAAAACTGGCATCTTAGTGAGATACTAAATGATTTCGACATAACGAAGAAAAGGAAAGTTGCTAGCAGTCCACTGGAGACAAATGAGAACTTCGTTCAATGAGTCTGTCTTACTTGCATAGACCTCTCACAACTAAGAACTGGTGCTTCTCAGAATCCAAATGGCTTTTACTGAAATAGCTACAAAGGAGAAATTGAGAAAAGGGTAGTGGTAGGCTAAGGAAATATATTCTTACATAGAAACAGACTTACAGTTTCCCACCCCCAGTCCAGTCTAAATTAAATGGGTTTAAAGCAAATTGCCAACACATTTTCTAAAAACTCTTGTCCTAGGCAGGGATACTAATTTAGGAATTTCAGGAAAGTCCTAGTATAGAGTTCAAGGGCTAAAATGGCAATAGTATGGCAGCAACTAGGGAACCAAAATCTCTTGTGCTTTTTTACTTTTCACATTTGATCACACAACTAGTAAGAAGGTTAACTATAATGGAGTAGGGGGAAAAAAAAAATCACTGCACTTGCAGTTTGACTTTTGGAATGGTACTCCAAAATGTCTAAGGAGGTAAAGACATTCTTCAGGAAACAAAAATACACCGAAACCACACTGCAAACAACCAGGAGGAGAGTCCTTTATGTTAACTGAGCACAAAAGAATCAACCTGAGTGTTAACTTGTATAAAGCGTGGGAGTTAAGAGAATCAGAAGAACACATAAAAATAAATAAAAGATAACTACAGTGATAAATCTTTAAGAGCCAAAATTATGCACCCAAATTTGGTATTCTAAGCTCAGGCAAGTTCCAAAAGAAGTCTTGGGTAGCTGGATAAAATATTGTATCAGTCAGGGCCAGAAATAACATGGCTTATCTTTAGCAACATTTCTCTAAATTGTTATTGCCTTCTCACTCGGAAAAAGTTTCTTGTAGAAAGGAATGATGGAAGATTCTGTACAATATGCACTAGAGCAAAAGTTAAAATGGGTGAGTGCTGATTGTCAGAGGCATTATTTACACTCATTAGCATATCCTCAAATAAGCCAGCAAGTCCTGAAACTGTAGTTCTGAATTTTAAATGCCTTTTATTTTTCAGTTTAGACTAATAATGCTTTTCTTCTTAGAGACACAAATTTCACCTATGGAACTTCCTCAGTATTCAATTGGTATTCAATCAGCAAAAGGTCAATACTTCTGCCAGCTACCATTTTCTCAGGGCAATGGGTGAAGTCTATAAATAGTTGCTATTCAAAAATGCATGAGCCAGTCACAAATGTCTCATCAGTCACCTTCTCTAGAAATGAGCAAAACAGCATTTCTAGAAACACATGACAAATATCATGCAAACATTCCGAAATCTTCTTGCCGAAACATGGTGCCTTTTTTCTTTAAATTTCAGTCTCTCTATTGCACATGCCTTCTGCAGATGAGGGCTCAATGCATAAATTCTGATCTTGTCTAAACTGATCCTTACGGAAAAAATAAAAAGGAATATCAAAGTAAATGTGCAAATAAAATTGGTGCTGCTTAAAGCATGTTCAAAATACAAGTCCTTAAGACAAAGAAGTGATATAACTCGTTGGCAGAAAAACAGCCGAGTAACTACACCTAATTTTCCCACTTGTCTTTTAATAAGATCTGGTTTAACTAGCACGTACATAAACCAAAAACATAACTATCACAAGTGAACAAAAATTACCACGTACTGAATTGGGTTGGCATTCTTCACTTTTTAACTATACTTCCTTTATATGGGATAATAATCAGTCCGTGTAGAAAATAAGTTATCGACATACTCTTTCAAGTAACAGTCTGAGTATCTTCAGTCTCACGAGACAGGTGTAACAGTTCAAGTCGCACATATTAGAGAACCTAGCATTCGATCTGAGAGCTGGGCACTCGCCGCATGTTTAGCGCATGCCTATGTATTTCCTGCATCTGTCTAATGCGGTCCTTTTGCCACATTAGGTTTTGAGGCATAGGGTATCTCTGTGAGCCATGCAAGTACCGGTATGGGATTCTCACGTGACAAGCAGTGGCTCTACAACGTGGCTGTGGCATAGGGGGAAGAAGCATCCAACGCTTCCTCTCAGCACAGTATCGGTAGGCTTCTTTCCGATACTGTTTGTCAATATCATCACTGTTCTTCCAGCCTCCAATAATGAAGACATCATCTCTATAATAGCAAATGGCTGCTCCTTCGATGCTTAGGACTTCTGGAGGCAAGCTTTCAAGGATCTCATCGGATACTTGGCTGGCAATCTTTCTTACTGCCTCTTCATTTTCTAAAGAATAACTCTTAGGACAGCACGATGCTGTCTGATAAAAGTTTGAATTGACCACAGACATTTGGAAAAAGCAGTAATTGTCAATAAGTGGCAAGGATTCCACATCTTGCCACTGTCGAGTCTCTGTGTCATAGCAAGTAATGACAGCCTTTAATCCATCTTCAGTATCCCGGTCCACAGGAGTGCGGGCAGCGATGTAGACAAACCGGTCTTCGATGGCTAGAGCTTTGACATCTCGAAGAATCTTCGGTGCTGATTCCAAGTTGTGCCATTTATCAAGCTCAGGATTATAAACAGTCACGTCTTTAAAGCCAGGACTAAAGTTGCCATGTCCTCCAATGCTATAGAGCTTCCCTTTGACTTCTGTTAGGCCAAAAGAATGCTTTCTTGTCATCAGACTACATACATGTTCCCACGTATTCAGATTTGGGTTGTACCTTTCCACAGTTTTAGCAAACCCCGGTTCCATTGATCCAGCAACATACACGTAGGACTCTGTTACTGCAACAGCATGTCCATCAAGGTGATTGTGAATGTGAGGCAGGTTTACCCATCTGTCCTCATCAACAAAATATCCCACACATTCACTTAAATAGTCCCCTCCTTCTGACACACCTCCAATTACCATGATCACGTCCATGTTTTGCCCATAGCGAGGTAATAACGAGACATGAGAAGCGGGATGCTGGAATGTGCCAGACTGTATATTTTCAGCTCTCAGAGCATGTCTCTCCACTGCATCGGCCACCAACTTGACACAGACTTCATTATTAGCCACCAGCCTCTCTGGCTTGACATGCCGAGTAAGGTAGGTGGGTTTCATCTGAGATAACCTGAGCAATTTAAAAAGTTCCTCAAAGTATCTCTCTCTTTCTTCAGCATTTCTCTGAACCCACTTCAAAACTGTTTCAAAGAGAACTTCTTCAGAATCAACTGTAATTTCTAAGTCAGAAAGCCAGTCTCGAATGAGATGGAAAGGTAAAGTATAAAATTCTTCATCCTGAATTACTTTGTGGAAATTTCTCCGAATCATATCAGCAGCTTTCAGAGCAAGTTGGCTCAGGGTATACATGTGGGCTAAGCTGTGAATGGCCACACAATTTGAGAGATGAAGTTTTTTCTTGAGAAATTCTCCACAAAATTCTTTTAAACGAATTAATAGGAACCTAAAATTAAGAAAAAGGGAAAAGATTAATTTTCAAATAGGCGCATTTAATGTGGTTGCTTTTAGAAAGCATTTTTTTAAAAAAGAATTGTTTAATTAAGTTAATTTATTCATTTAATTTGTACCAGGGAGGGACAGACCGAGAGAGAGAGAGAGAGGGAAAGTGAAAAAGCTGGCGTGGGACTCAAACTGTGGTCAGCCACGTTGGAGTTCACTGCGCTTAACTACCACACCACTTACTAGCCCCTTGAAAGCATTCTTGAATTATACAAATGGAAATGGCAAGACCAATCTCAATAGCTGAAAAAAAGTTTTCCAAGTTATAAAGTATTATACTGAATAAAGTACATTTAAAAGTATATATGGGCGGGAACCAGCAGTTAGCGTAATGGCTATGTCACTGGACTACCACATAGTCGACCGTGGTTCGCGTCCTGGACCCGGTGACTTAAAACTCACGCAGGGCGCGTGTGCGTGCATGCCCAAGATCCCAAGAGGAGAATGGAGAAGGGATTGCGGTGTGACCATACCCCCTGGGGGGTGATTTCTCGCTTTTTGTCTCTAATGTCTCTGTCTGTCTGGTGAGCGCACGTGCCCTATAGTGAAAATCTCTCCAAAAAAAAAGAGTATATATGGGCTAGCAAAGGTGGCACATAATGGTTAAGATGCCGGACTCCCATGTGGTTGATGGTGGTTCAAGGCCCAGTGACTTGAAACTCATGCCGGATGTGTGTGCATGCCTAGAATCCTGAAAATGAAGAAGGTATTGAGGCATGGTCATCCTCGGGTGTGGGGGAGAATTTCTTACTTTCTCACTGTCTTTGTCTCTCTGGCGAGCACACACGTCCTGTAGCAAAAATCTCTCTAAAGAAAAAAAATATATATAAAAATAATCTTTCTATAAAAAATATATTAAAATGTCAGGGCCAGCAGGTGACACAATGGTTACAGTGCTGGACTCCCACATGGCTGACTGTGGTTTAAGTCCCAGAACTAGAGGTTTGCTTTCTCATTCTCCCCTTCTCTGCCTCTTTGGTCAAATAAAAAAATAATAGTTAATTGGGGCCAGCAGGTGGCATGGTGAACTCCCACATAGCTGACCACGGTTCAAGTCCTGGGCCTGGTGGCTTGCTTTCTCACTTTTCCATCTCCCTGGCTCTCTCTCTCTCTATCCCTCTCTGGTCAAATTAAAATAAATAAATTAATTAATTAAAAATTAAATAACAAGAATAAATAAAGTGAAATAAACAATGATATATCATCTAAATTATATAACCCATCTATAATTATGTATATTATGTATATATGCACAGAATAAAATTTTCAATTATGTAAGATTTTCGGGAACATTTTTTTTTGGGGGGGGGAGGTTTTTGCTATAGGGCGCATGCGCTCACCAGAAGGACAGAGAGAGAGACAGAAAGAGAGAAATCAGCCCCCAGGGGGGATGGCCATGCCGCAATCCCTTCTCCTCCAGTCTCCTCTCGGGATCTTGGGCACGCACGCACATGCACCTGGTGTGAGTTTAAGCCACCAGGTCCGAAACTTGAACCATGTTCAGCTATGTGGGAGTACAGCAACATAGCCATTATGCCAACTGCTGATCCTGCATATCTTTTTTTTTTAAGAGAGATTTTTGCTAAGGTACATGAGCTCACCAAGGAGACAGAAAGCAAGAAATCACCCCCTAGGACAGATGGCCACACCACAATCCCTTCTCCTCCATTCTCCTCTCAGAGTTTTAGTCATATACATACATGTATGAGTTTTAATCTACCGGGTCCAGGACTCAAACCACAGTCGATTACAGGGGAATCCAGTGATGTAAACATTATGCCACCTGCTGGTCCCACTGGAACATATCCTTTAATAAAATTCAATAGTGCCATACTTTTATTTTCACTTCAATGGACACATTTTTTGCTTTGTTTTATTTTAGATTTCTTTAACAGGGGCCTATGTGCTCCCTGGAGCAAGACACAGAGAGAGAGAGAGAGAGAAAGAATGGCCATGCCACAATCCCATTTCCTCCATTCTCTTCTTAGGATTTTGGGCATACATACATATATGCCTGGTATGGCTTCCAAGCTATCGGATCTGGGACTTGAACCACAGTCAGTCATATCAGGTCAAGCACCTTAACCACTGCACCACCAGACTTTCCTTTTGTTCTTTAATCATAGTACAGTGCATGTGTGCACATATGACAGAGTGAAGGGGGAAGCACCCTCCACAGGGTAAGATAATGCCACAGACCCTTTCCTTCAGTCCTCTAGCCTACTGGATCTTGGCACTCATGCAAGTATCAGAGGTGTTTCAGGCTGACCAGGCCAGGGTTTCAAACCATGGTCACCTTGTGGGATCCAGCTTATCTTGAGCAGTGCATTACCACTGCACCAGAGCCAGCGCTATTTTCACTCATTTGTCATCAGCAAAGGCACATCCCAATCCCCATCCCTTATCTCTGCCACCCTTTCCTAATTCCTTGCCAGTCATCATCAGCCTCTTCTAAAATAAGGGATGGTTTCAGTGGAGAGACTTTATTAAGCATTGACTTATATGGTATACAGTAAAAGCCAGGCAGGAACTTCAACTTCCTGGAGGCTCTGTTTGGTCAGATATCAGAAGGGAAAGCAGTATAGTATTTGTGTCAGAGGTTTTAACCTCTTCACCAGGGCTTTCTCCACAGGCAGCCAGAGGAGCTGGGGTTTTCAGGGACATTTCCCTGAGCTGGGTTTTCATTAAAGCAGTAATGGGAAGGCAAACAAGCATCTGAAGAAGCCAGAAAATAAAACAAGAACACATGTGTAGGACAGTCTAGGTTAAAAAAATAAGAGAATGTGGTTTGGCTTACAGCTGACTATAAGCCAAAGACTTATAGGTCTGCCCACTCAAAATCATTTAACGAAAAAAAAAAAAAAAAAGTCCCAAAATAGTTTTAGCCAAATTCATAACCTGGCAGCATTCGCCCCAAGAGCGTCCACTCTGAGACCACTCCTTTAAAAAAAAGTAAGTCCTGGGTGCCAGAAGGTGGCTTGATGGTTAAGGTACTGGACATTCATGTGGCCAACCACGGTTCTGAGTCCCAGATCTGGTGGCTTGCTTTCTCACTTTCCTTCTCTCTCTTTTTCTGGTGAGTGCACACGCCCTGTAGCAAATTTAATAATTGTAATAATAATAATAATAATAATAATAATAAACATTAAATACATTTTTGGAGAGGTTTTTTCTATAGAGAGCGTGCACTCATCAGAAGACAGAGAGAGATAGAGAGACAGAAAGTGAGAAATCATCCCCCCCACCCCCCAGGGGATGGTCATGCTGCAATCCCTTCTCCTCCATTCTCCTCTCGGGGATCTTGGGCACAGACAGCATACATACGCAGTGTGAGTTTAAGCCACCGGGTCTGGAACACAAACCGTAGTCGACTGCATAGGAGTCCAGTGACAGCCATTACACCATCTGCTGGTCCCTAAATAAATTCTTAAAAAAAAAAAAAATTCCCAGAATTGACAAGAACCATAAAAAAAATAAATAAATAAAAAAAAAGGACGACTTCATCACACCACGCCTCTCTCAATTCAGTTACTATCTGTTATTACTATTATCGTGCTTCATTATAATCTCAACTGTAATATAAAGATCAATAAGACAGGCTCCCTTCACAGGCTTCCTTTTAACATCTTAGAGACAAAACAGTGACAGAGAGCAGGTGGTTGTGCAGCAGTAATACAACTGGACCCACATGGGAAGGTCCTGGGTTCATGTCCCAGGCCCGCCTAGTACATGTTGGACCTGCTATCCAGGCTGGTCTGAGAACTCTGTCAGGAGTGCCTGCTTCTCTCTCTCTCATGAAAGAAATAAATGAACTTTAAAAATAAAAAACAAAGGCAAAGTAGAATAGTAGGGCTTTAGTGGTTCACAAACATGTCTGGGTGCCAAGATCACCTGATTCCCAGGTTGCCCTGAGATCATACTTTTTGGCAGGTACTCCAAATAATTGAGACATATTCCTGTAGCTGACAGGTATTTGGAAGTACTGTCCTGTAGAACAGTGGGGGCGGTAGATGGTGTGGAGGTTAAGATGGCTGGATTCCACACAGATGACTACACGTTTGAGTCCTTGACCTAGTGGCTTGAAAACATGCTGGACACTTGTGCAAGTGTGCCCAAAATCCCAAGAGAATGGAGATAAAGGGATTGTGGCATGGCCATCCCTCCCCAGGAGATGCTTTCTCGTTTCTTTTTTTTTTTTCTCTGTGTCTCTGTCTCTCCTTCTCTCTCTTTGTCTCTGTCTTTGGTGAGCACATGCACTCTACAGCAAACAAACAAAAACATGGAGAGGAGAATAAAGGAGAAGGGATTGTGGTGTAGCTATCCCCTCTAGGGGATGTTTTCCTCTCTCTCATGCTTACATACTCTATCAAGACTTTTTACATTTTTTTAAATAGAGGATCAGGAAAACGGTACACAATGAAAACACTGTGTTGGGCACATCCTATTATGCCCAGTCCTATAAGTACCCTGTAAGGTATACACAATCATCAGACAAGACTACACTGGGTGGACTGGGAGAGACCCTGCTGCAGAGCCGGTGGGAAGATTAAATGTGAGACTGCAGGGCACTTCAGTGTCGGACACAAGGCAGAGGCTCAGCAGCTGACAGACAGAAGAATTTAAAGTAAACTGCGTGGAATATTCTCTCCTCTCCTTATCCTTAACTACCCAATAAAGCAGGGGCACATCTGAAAAATACAAGATCGCATAACAAGCAAATACATGCTTGAGTGCAATGACCCTTTTCTATACATTTTCATTCAACAAACAAACCTCCCTCCTTCAGACCTAAATACTTCAGTCAAACTTTTTTTTTTTTAGACATTATTTTACTTTCATTGTCATTATTATTTCATTGAAGTTGACCAGAGACAGAGAGAGAGAAGGAAAGTGAGAAAGCAAGCTGCCAGGTCTGGGTCTCAACCCACGGTCAGCCATGGGGGA